AAGGAAATGCTCTGGGGGCCCAGACCTCACCTCTACCCCGTGTACTCACCCTGGCGGTGTTTGCCATTGGCTGCTGGCATCACAGTGCCGGCTGATGGGACCGGGATCTGAAACTCTCGACAAGAGATGTCCCCTGAATAAACAGCCTTCTCGCAGGCCCCCTTTGTCCCCTCACCTGCCCAGGGTTTCTGGCCTGGATCGCTGGCTCAGCCGCCCTGGGTAACATCTCAGTTAAACTGAGCTTCCAGGGACTGTGTCCTTTGGAAGGAAAGAGCAGTACCATTTCCATGGAGGGAGACGGGCTGAGCAATTCCGTCATCTGTCATCACCCTGAGCAGATGGTGGGAGTGGGCAGGACAGACGGAAACATGTCGGTGTGACAGACCTCATGGATGCCCTGGCTTTCGAAGTGTGATGGTTCAGAGTGCATCTCACCTGAATAACAGACAACCCCCACCCCAGCCCCGTAAGGCAGATGCTGGTCAGTAGGAAAGGTGGGGCTGCCTGGCCATCTCTGGGAAGCTGTTGAGAGAAGGCCTGAGACAGGTCCTGACCCACAGCGTTGACACAACCACACGGGAGGGTAAATGAAGCCTCAGGTCACGGAGATAGTTGTAAGCTACGTGCCAATATTTATACAGGAGCGTCCAGTAGAACATCAGCCAGTAAGTCACTCAACTAAAGCTTTCTGAGTACCTACCATGTGTTAGATATTGGGGCAAGGATATGGGAGACACAAAGATGAATGAGACGTGGGTGCTGCCTGGTCACAAAGTAATTGATGAATTACTCCAGCCTCTGGGAGCTGGTGTTGAAGGACACACTCTGTCCCAGCCTTCAAGGTGCTTGCAGTGTTATTCCAGGCAGCAGCAAAGAGACCGTCTCCCACCCTGTTGATTCAAGCATCGATCAATAGGATCCTTTGGAAGATGATTTGGAAACATACATAGAATTTTAAAATATGCATACTCTTCAATCCATAATTCGCTTTTTGGTTTACCAATGTTGGAGAAATAGTGTCACAATTTTTTTTTAAAACATGTGTTTTCAAGGATGTTTACTACAGTATTTGTAACAGTAAAAAAAAAAAATTGGGAGTTCAAGATTTGCAGATACTAATATACATAAAATAGATAAACAGGTTCATCCTGTGTAGCACAGGGAAGTATATTCAATATCTTGTAGTAACTTATGATGAAAAAGATATGAAAACAAATACATGTATGTTCCTAAATGACCTGAAGCATCGTGCTGTACAGTGGAAACTGGCGCAGCATCGTAAACTGAGTGTACTTCAATTAAAAATAAATAAATAAATAAATAAATAATAAAACCAGCCAAACAAACCAAAAAACAACGGGAAAAATGCTGATCGATGGCAGAATGGCTGAGTAAGTCACGGTATATCCGGGGCAGGAGCTGCCGTGCAGCTGGTTACCCTTCATGAAATCGTCATTCTGCCTCTTTTTGACCTAAAAATATGGCAATTCCATATATCGAACCAAGAATGAGAGACATCCCTGGGCTTTTGTTTTGTTGTCTCTAAAATGGGGACAATAATCATGTCTCCCAGTCTCACAGGGTTAACGTGAGGATTTGGCGCAATGCCGCGTGGCCTTGGACCAGTGCCCAGCACACGGCCAGAGCCTGGTAAATATTTGCTGATACCTCTATGTATCTGTATTAACGTGGAAAGAGCCCAAAATACACCAATTGGAGAAGATAACTATATGTATGTGTTTACAAGGGTTCATAAAGTATGAACTCATTTTTGAGGGGAAAACGTGTGAGTGTGCATGTGTGGGCATGTGGTTGTATGTGAGAGTCTGTGTAAACACACAGGACTAGAATGCCACCCTCTGAGCTGTTCCTAGTGGTGAATCCTGGAGGAAGGAGTGGGATTGGGGGTGGGGAGGTAGGGGGTGCCCCTCGGGGTCAAGCAGAGTTGCTAGCAGGCAGACACACACCTATAAAGGGAGCAGCCCCTCATCCTCCGTGCGAGCTGGTCCAGCCAGCTCAGGGGGGCTGTTGTCTCTGCAGCCCATGCCAGAGTTGAAGTCCCAGAGCCAGCAGTCAGGAAGGGGTGATGGATGTAGGCAGTCAGGACCCACAAGTCTGATCTGCAGCTCCCCAGAGGACAGACTGAAACCCATGTGGGTTCCTAATGCACCTGGATGGTGTGGGGGCCTGCAGAAGCTGGGGCCCCCAGGAGCAGGCATAGCCAGACCAAGCACCAGAGGAGCTGGAGGGGGCAGAGATGGAGGAGCGGTTGCAGGCCTGGCTGCTGCTTCGCACGGAGGAGGTGAATCAGCACATCAGCCACAGGGCCCGTGACCGGCAGTGGTACTGCCTCCCCTCCACCTGCCGGACCTCCTCCTTGTGGCCCCTTGCCTGCAAACAAACAAGAAGGGGGATTCTGATGAACATGCTGCAAAGCCATCGAGGGGAATGACACATTTTCTTCTATAGACTTCTGGATTGTTTGAATCCTTTTACATTGTGAATCTACAAATGTACTTCTTGTGAATTAAAAACCAAAAAAGCCCTGAAACCCTTTGGTGGAAAAAAAAGGAAAGAAAACTCTTCTACCCAGTGAGATTTAGTGTTCAGTTGTGTAGCTAACAGCCTGTGGAGACGGGTGAGAAATCCAGCCGCTCCCCACTGTCAGCGCCTAGTCCTGCCGCCACCACCTCTCACTGTGCCGCTGCAGGTCCGTCCCCACCCCCAGGCTGGCCTCCCTGCTTCTGACCTGTTCCCACTTCAGCCCAGTGATCTTTTCAAAATGCAGATCAGGTGCTGCTGTGTGCCTCTTTAAAACGCCCCAGTGACTTCTCACTGCCTCTGTTATGAAATCATAAATCTTAGCCGCTTACTGATCTGGTGCAGAAGTCACTGTCACACTCTGTATGCCTCGCCTCTCTCTCCGTCCCTTCCCTCGCCACAGAGCCTTGCGTGCTATCAAGTTACCATGCGTATAGCAGTTATGAGAATTCGCTGACCCCCTACTATGTGCAACATCACTGCGTAGCCTGATGTGATGCCCACAATATCCCTAGACTCTTTTTCCCTGTCTTTATTTACAGACAAGGGTGTGAGACTTAAGGGACATTGAGAAACAGGCAAAAAGCCTCATGACCAGTGAGTGGCACCCCAGGACTGGAGTGCGGCTGTGTCTGGCCCCCAAATCCATGAGCACCGTATTCCGCAGAGTCCATCCTGTGAACAGCCTCTGCTCTCCTGGTCACGCCACCTCGTGAGTGGGCGACCATCTGTTCCTCGGGGCAGCAGGCTCCAGGAGGGGACCCAGGAGCAGCCATGTGTTTGCTGCTACACCTCCAGTCCCTCCCATCGTGTGTGCACATGTCAGGTCACCACACGGTGGGCGGTGGGGCACCAAGAGCCATGTAGGTGGTGTTTGCGAATGACAGCGGCGAGCGCAGGGAACTGCTCAGCTTCACCTCCTGACTCCACGCAGCTCCGCTTTGGGCTTCTCCGGGCTCCGCGGCCAGAACGGGCTAGGCTGGCCCGCCCACCTACCTGTTAGGAGAAATCAGCGCAGCAAAGAAGCATTTTTCTTTCTAGTGATAACTTTCTCCCACAGGCAGGGCTGCCCTGCTAGGGCCCAGGAGGTGCCACTCCCGTCCCTAAACAGTTACCTCTGTTCCCTGGCTGCCACTTCTAGGTCCCACCAGCACTGCTGCCTGGGGGACAGCTGCCTGGGGGCTCGGCATTTTCTCGACGCCTACGAATAGGCAGACTATTTCATTGTCAAGTAAGGGGTGTGTTTTGGTTTGTTTCCAGTGATGCTGGTGGATACGGAAGGCTGGATTTGTGGGGAGTTCAGCACGTGCTCCGCCCGGAGCCCCTGCTGTGTGGTGTGCCCTTCACTTCTCACAAACCCCGACGAGGCAGCCCCTTCAGAGATTAGGACCCTGAGGTGCCTTGCCATTCAGCCGTCTGAAGTCCCACAGTGCTTAGAAACTCGACTGTAATGCCTCCTAGAAAGTTCTGGCACCCCAGTTCCTGAGCACAGTCTCCAGCCTCAAGGAGAGAGCTTACCAAGGGCAGCCACTCAGGCCCTTCCAACACGAACACTTGGGACCACGCTTACTGGGCTGTGTGTGTGTTTGTGTGTGTGTGTGCGTGCAGGGGGCAGGTGATGCGTGTGTCCTCTGCCTCACGTGCACCCCACTAAGTGGTGATAAAAAAAGGGGGTCTGGCCTTGGCAGAGGGCTCACCCATCCACCAGCTGAACATGCTTAGCTTTAAAATTCCATTTTAGCACTTCTCTCCGGCTGGAGTTCTAATCTAATCAGCTGTTTTCCTGGACAATTTCTACTGTACAGGCTTGTCCCGAGGCCACCAGTTTGGGAATTGGTGACCCGGATTACTGGCATTACTGGAAGACTAGAGACGAGTTGGTCATTATTGCCTGAAAAGGACTTTTCTATTTTTCCAGGCTCCTACAAGAACGTTTTAAGTTTCCCCGAGGCCCGTGGGGTGGGCCCGCAGTTATCCCCTCCTCCAAGTGCTCGCGTTTCGCCCCGGGGCTCCCTCATTCTTGGTGCACCCACGTGTGTGAAAGGGAGAGAAAAATGGGGTGCTTAGTGTTCTTTGATGGAGTTTATAAGTGCCCCAATGAATCATGTCCCCGGAGGCTGGGAATTCTATACAGAGCCGCGGGCTGCCTCTCAGCGCTCTGTAAACACACGGGCTTGAATGCTCGAAGGATTCAGGCCTTCTGATTTATTTCTCCCTGAAGTACTTCATCAAGGAATGCAAATCGTTTGCCTTCTCCAAGCGTTTCCGTTTTCCTTCTGCTTTGAAATCCTTTCAAGGACTGGGGTCTGGGCCAAAGTGACCCAGAACTTGACGCCTCGAAGTTGCTTTTTGCCCCAGCCAGGAGGGCCGAGCCTTGTGGCCGCCCGGCCTGCAGACCGGGCCCCGGCCACCGAGGGTCCGTGGAATGAACTTGTGTCTGTCGCTGTGGTTGTTTGCAGAGCTGGTGTTGCTGCTGGAGTGGTGGTCGGGCACGGAGTGCGTCATCTACACGGACCCCCAGGCCTACCCCAAGTACGGGAAGGAGAACGCCATCGTTGTTCTGAACCACAAGTTTGAGATCGACTTTCTCTGTGGTTGGAGCCTGGCCGAACGCTTCGGGGTCTTAGGGGTAAGTCGGAGGCGCGGGACCGCCTCACGCATCTCTCTGGTTCAACACCATAAGTTGCCTTTTCGCTCTCGGTCCTTCAGAATTTCTAGAAGCATTTGCAGACTTGTTGAAATGTTCTTAACCAACTGCTTTTCCTTTTTGCTCGGACTCAAGATGAACATCTGCTTAAAGCCAGGATAGTATGTATTCAGCTGTTACGATGTGCTGGGCATTTTATGTACAATTGGTTTATTTAATCCTTACAGAAACATTTGGGAGCCAGGAATATACACCTGCCCTCTTTTAAAAGCTATGTTTCCAAATGCCCTGCTCAGAATCACACAGCTGTTAAGTAGATTTGGATTTGAACTCGTCCAGCCTGCTGCCTCTTTGTAGTCTTAAATCTCTGTGCTCTGCTGCTTCGCGGGCTCACGGGCAGAATTAGCCTCTGAATGTTCACCTTCATAGGTCCAAATGCCTTAGGGAGAGAGACGTGCAGAATTCAGAATAAATATGAAACCCCAACTAGCGTGACCTCTCGTGCCCCATTGTGACCGAGTCTCCCCAGTGGACTTTTGTCAAGTTTACCATGTTGAGGGGCCTGATGGTTGAGCCAGTAGCAAGTGCCCGGACACATGGGCTGAGGTATCCCAACGGGAGTCACACTGCGCTGGCCTGGGCTGGGGAAAGCGGAGACCACCCCCACCTCAACTTGGGAATCCTGTACTCGGAACAGCCCCCTGTGTGTGCATCACACTTATTTTTGGTGGCCCATGTAGACAAAAGTCATAGTGTGTAGAAGGTATAAGTTTGCAGACCGTGGGGAGCAGCTTGGACAAGAGTCTGGGGGCAGACGCCCTGTGCAGGGGGTGACTCAGTGTGTCCAGTCCCAGGTGTGCCTATGAGGTCTGGGAGTCGCAGCCAAACTGTGGGTCCTGTTGGTCGCTGCCTGGGGAGGACCCTTGGCCAAGAGGGACTACGTAGCCTTGGGGTGCATTTTGGTATTTGCTTTTTTTAAACCTTTTTTTTTTTTAACTTGGAGCAAAAGGGGAGAGAAGGAAGCATGCTTAGAAACACATTCCAATAATGTCTTTAGGACAAATGATGGTTGTTACGCAGTTAAACTGCCAAAAGGCAACTAAGGTCTTTAGCAGCTTTTCCAGAGATGGGAACGGTGTTAAATCACTGTTGCCACCTTAAGACGTCTAGAAAACTGGATTGTCTCGGGGCGGACATGCTGACAAGGTTTCTAGGAATGGACAGGCCCTCCTGCCAACAGCTTTCTCCTCTGTTTTCCTACCTACCCTTCCAGTACTGACGTGATGCCTGTGTGAGCACCTGTGTGTGTGTGTTCAAATATATTTTTAGGAACAAAACCAAAAATTCTAGGATCTACCTTTCTCGGCTGCAGAGGCCTTGGGCAGCCATCTTAGCCTCACTTCTGGGGATTTGTTCCCTCTGAGAGGCGAGAAAAGTCTCATCATCCGATCCCCGTGGTGGGCACGGATGGTGGGTGGCCCTATCGATCCTCCCTCTGCTGCAGGAGGAAGCGTACGCGGGGTCCTTGCGTCCTGACCAGAGCGTACGCTGCTGCCTTCGGGCTCGGCTCCCTGGATCACCGGCTTTTCAGCTGTAGCATGGGAGCGGCCGCTGATTTTCCGGGCCTCGCGGGTGGCTTGGGCATGCTCGTGCTCACAATGTGGAAGCACGTGTGACCTGGCAGGAGCCTGGGGTGCAGCGGCAAGTCCGGTGGACTAAGAGGCACTTTCCAAACCCCACGGTCCCCCTGGTGGCTTGGCAACCACGAGCCCCTTCTCTGTGCCTTTTAGCGTATTTGTGCTGTTTCTGACCCACGGGATACGTGACTGTTTTTTCAAATAACCTGCCAGAGCCTCAGTTTGGGCCAATCACTTGCCCCAGAATGAGAACCAGTGAGTCTGATCGCTGACTTGCTGCTCTTTCCTCCTGGACAGAGTTGGGGGGAGAGCTGTCGGGGAGCCTTTTGTTGGAAACGACCAGGGCGCCTGCAGGAGGGGCCGGGCTCGTGGTCTGTGTGGGGTTTGTCCCGAGGAGTGCAAACCCTCAAGACCTTTATCGCGTCAGGGACGGAGCAGCTGGACTAACGAAGCAGAAGCACAAACACAGATGCTCGGGGAAACACACAGACATCCAGAGCCAGCAGCCACGGGGAGGGGACCCAGGAATGGAAGGCGGGCCTGGGACTGGAGAGGGACCCAGGGCTGAGAGGGGGAGGCTTTTGTGGGGTGATGACTATCTCAGCACCCTTTTGCATTTCACTAGCAGAGGCCCTGAGATCCTGGTCACTTTACGTCCAAGAGCGTGAATGCACTGATGGGCGGAAACTGACTAGGCAGAATGGCTGTCCTGCCAACAGCACAGGGGCAGGTCATCTCCAGCCCTGACTTCCTAAATGATCACCATGTTTATTGGATCTCACTTCTTACTCTCAAAACCCAAACAACTAACGTTGTGTGTGAGGGGCATGAGCCTTGGCCTTTGGTCTGGAGGCTGTTCAGGAAGGAGTTCAGGGAGATTTAGGAACTCCACCCAGCTGGGAGTGGGCAGGTCCCCAAACCTTAGCCAGGATGATGCGTCTCCCTTTCTCACTGAAGTCTGAGTTGCCCTACTCAGGGGGCCGTCTGAATGTCTGGATTCTTGCAGAAGTGCTCCCTGGAGCCCCCATGTCCCTGCCAGAAGTGGAGGGAGGCGGGGAGGGGGCAGCAGGTAACCACATCTCCCTACCCCCACCCCAACCCCCCGCCCCAGCACTGGGGAAACAGTCGGGGCTGTGATTGTGGCTGCCTGTACAAGTTCTCATGAAACCACGTGCTGGCGGAGGCTCCAGGAGAGGAGGAAGGAGGGTGTCAGTGACCTTGTGAGTAACCTGGTGTGTGGGGGGTGGCCCAGCTCAGGTGGGAGCACCAGACTGTGTCCTCCGGGGTGGGGAGTGGTGTTCTCCCTACACAGCAGGAGCAGCTTACCATCCACGTGTGTCTCCTGGAGCAGCTGGGGTCCTCCTGGAGGGCGTGACACTGGATGAGATGCCTGGCCCCTTTCCAAAGGGGCCCATTCATTCCTGCCACCCTTGAAAGGGACAAAACAGCCTCTTGTTACATGAATTGTTCAGCAGTACCTTTTGTCTTCATTGACCTTCAAAAAAAAACTCACATGATTTATCTCTTTCTTTAAGTAACACATTGGTGTTGAGAGCCTTCTGGAGTCTGAGGAGGTTACTTTTAGAGAAAGGATACAAGGAAGGTTCTTTACCGGGCATTTTTTCGTCTTTGCACGTAATAGCCCAAGAGGAAGCGAGTTAAAATTGAAGCAAGTGAAATTTGCAGAAATTCTTTTTTTTTTTGACATTTTATTTCAGCTTTTTTGGGGGGGGTAATTAGATTCATTTATCTAATGTACTTGTTTCTTAATGGATGTGCTGGGGAGCTGAGCCCAGCACCTCGTGCTTGCTAAGCACATTCTCTACCACTGAGCTGTGTATACCCTCCCCCCCGAGAAATTCTTGAGAATAGGATTATTAAATGTGAAATCGCATTTAAGGAGAAAGTGATGGGATTCATTTAAAAAGGAAAAAAGGAGGGGATTTCAATCTTTTATAAGCGTTTGCCTCATGTGGTTGTCTGGGGCCTGTTCTCAAGGCCCTGGTTTCCTTGGAGCTGGCGCTGCCTGGCCCGGGCCAGGTGCCAAGGGCTCTGGTGATGGTCTTTGAGGCTTCTCTGTCAGGGGGCCTCTGGAGGGTCCCCGGAGGTCCAGGGGAGGAGCTGGGGCCCCTGGTGAAGGTGGGCTGTGCAGAGGCAACTCTGAGCATTTGGGGCAGCTCTGTTTGCAACCCTGTGGGGCAGGATTTCGGTATTTTAACAGCTGGTATGATAACACTGTGATGCTGCCGGCACACTGACTGCTGCCCCAGGGACAGAAATTCCCCAGAAGCTGATGAATGACACTGGGCTGAGGCCTTTGAAGAGCGGAGATGGATTTAGGAGAAGATGGGAGATATAGGGGAAGGGATCATTATGAGGTGAGAGACGGAGGTGCCTGAAAGGAGACTGTGAGTGACGTGACCACTCAGTGAAGATGCAGCCAGTTCCGTGGCCCTGGGCTCTGCAGACCGATTCTTTCCCGTTTGGACTCGGCCAAGCATACGCATCATCAGCCCGTCCACACAGCCTGTCTCACCGGCTGCCCGCTCAAGGCCATTGGGGTGATTTTGGACTTACTAACCCAAATTAGAAAGAAGATGTCATAAAACCCAAGAAAATCATTCTGGAGCTGAAACAAGAACTAAACCCAAACTGTCAATGTTCCGATTTAATTTCTCCAGGACACTGCTGGTCAGTAACACTGCACGTGGTTCTTTCTGTGCAAGAGCCCAAAACCAACATTTCTTAAAGTTTGCTTACAAAAGGAGCACCTTTCTAACTCAGTCTTCTGAAGGAAGAACGCCAGAGCAGATTTGTCGAGAAAAGCTACGCGAACGTTATTTACTATAAACCTCCGTCAGTTGTCACATTCCCCAAAACTGTAGCTTTCCTGTGCTTTGTCTTCAGACATGTAAAACTAAGCAAAAAAGCGGGCGCCCTGAAAGATGAATCTGTGCCGTTTGTGCTCAGGTGTCCAGAACAGGTATTCGTTTCTCCTCAACTTACCCCAGAATTGTTCTCTGACGAGGGTGGCAGGAGACAGAGAGATGTGTAGACAAAAACCTGCAGCCTCCCGGCTCCTGTATTTCCCAGCTCTGTGACCTTATCCGACTTTTCTGAACCTGGGTTAACCTTTCTCATTTCATGCTGTTTGAGGGTTTAATGAATTTAAGTAAAATACTCCGTCAAGTGCCCAAGACAAAGTAGGCGTGCGATAATACCAGTTCCTTGGACCCTCATTCGTTTCCCTTCATTGAACGTTTTCTTGTGAAAAGTGTAAGGTGTGGAGAGTGGAGGTGAGATGGAATGTTCTCTAAGTGGGATTTACCCACCTTTTCTGGTGTC